ACACACACACACACACACACACACACACACACACACACGCACACACACACACACACGCACACGCACACGTGTGCACACACACAAAACCTGTTGGTGCTTTCCCTCACTTATATGAATTTCTTCTCACCTTCCTGTTTCTTTTGCGTGGAAACAAAGGTTCAAAATGGCCCAGGCGTCTCTGGTATAGTGGTCTCTGGTATAGTGTTCACTGGGAAACGCAGAGGCCTGATTTTCCTTGAGCTAGGAATATAATTCATATATTTCACTGCATTATTTTATTCTTAAGTAACAAAAGCTTCCCCTTTACCCTTAGGATAAACTTTTATGAGGATCATACTCATCAAGTCGTATTTTTAGTAGTCACTGGTAAGTTCGGGCTGACTGAACTACTGTTCAAAGCCATGGTCATTATGCCAATTCTGAAAAGACAACCCGAGTTTTCTGGACAACACAGGAAATGAATTTCTAACCTAACCCATTTGTTTATAGAAAATACTAACTAGAGTACTAACCAAGCAGAACTCAGCATTAAATGTTTCAGTAATGCTATTTAAAAGCATCTGGTCTCGGAAACAAGGTTTGAGCTCACATGCTGCTGCTGTCCGCTTTTCTGCGTTGGCTGCCAACCTTTATTCCATTTCCTTTGAGAGGTGAATGAGATTGATAGATGAGGATACTTTGAACAGAGACAGTTTAGATTTCAAGAAAGCCTCTGTCAAATTCTTCATGATATTCTTGTCAATAACATGGTAAAACACAGTTGGCTTTAGGAGACTGTTAGGAGAGATCACAGTTTGGTGAGAAACAGGACTTGGGGAGTTGAGTTCAGCTGTCTGATGTTCGCTGATACAATGCTTCCCTGTACAGAGGAACTGTGACCAGTGCCCACTGTCTCCAGGAAGGATTCTACTGTGAGCTTTAGAGAGGTTTGTAGACCTGGCATATGGCTCATTTAGGCAATAGTCACAAGTGACCCTCAGAATATTAGTAGGTCCCCCGAATCACAAGAAATACAGAGATCAAATTATTTTAGGGAGTGCTGGATTAAAAATACACTGCTTTCTGCATTTTAAAAATCTCCCAAGGATTTTA